GTTATTACAAACATAATTTTATTAAAAAACATCAATTACCTGTACTTAAATAATAGTTTTGGTTAGTTGTTGTCGGTTGGTTGCCCTATCGTTTTGTATTGTGGCAAAATGCTTAAAACGAATATCAATATATTTTTCTGCAATCGATTTCATCAGAAATACAACATGATTAACTGTAGGTGATTGGTCAAATATATGGTTGGCTGATTTTTTGAAACAATCTTGTCCAATAAGTGATTTTAATGTATTCGATACAATTTTATGTTTACGAAAGTTAGGAGTATTCAAAGATTGCGATTTAACACAACGAATACTGCCTTCGGTCCGTATACATATTTTTATGACATCTCTAGATGGGAAAGTAAGACCACCCTTATTTTTAGTTTTTATCAAATCAAGGTCACTATCGTCGTAGTTATCAGCATATAATTCTTTGAGACAGCTCTCACATTTGATCTTGGAATGTAAATATTTGACCACATACCCAGAAATACATGCTACTATTTGACGGCGCAAATAGTCACCTATAGTTGTATTTAATTGTTCATCAAATTCCAATAACATATCGTCAGGCATAGGCTCGACATCCGTGCTATCCGAAGACTCGAAACTCATTTTATTTAAAATGCGATAACGTTCTGATGTAATATTAATTTTTTGCACAGAAGATTCATTTAAAATGGAAATATCTTCTTCTTCTATGGTGTCCAATCCGGTCTATTAAGTTTTGAAATCCATTGCTGTTTTAAATTATCGTTGGATGGAAATCTAAAACGAACATAAAAATAATTAAAATTTATTTACTTGGTAAAATAATTTAATACGTATTACGGCCCTGGATATTTGTAACGTTTAAAAAGTTATTCTATATGACGACAGATGGCGGCCAGTTAGTAATATATTGATAAAATTACTGTTTTAGATACTAAAAGTTATTTAGGAATAAGTGTATAACAGTTTTCAGTATTTACGTATGATTATTACAATATACTACTGCAAAATTATACGTAAACTTGTGTATTTTCTTCCTAAAAGTGTCGCCATCTGGTGTCAAGTAGTAGAATTTTAACGCTGATAGCTGAGGCTGAGAATGTTCTAGAACTTATATATTTAATTACGTATAAAATTACTTACAAATGAAATGTGATGCCATCCATATTATCAGAACGTCTGTCTGAGTAACTTTGACATAGTAAAACACAAAACTTCATCCTCTTCTTGTTAAAAACGCAAAAAAACACTTATAATGCGAGTCTCGTTAAGTGTGCACCCGACGAACGCTGAAAGCATACTGACTTAGGCCCCGCCCACAATGATGACGTCAGGACCTAGTTGAAAATCACAGTGCACAGTTGCTTAGGCCAGCTCCTCTTTGTTTTTCCTCCGTGGTAGGCACCCACAAATATATGACACCCACAGATACAATTTGTTAGGGTTTTATTAACCGACTTTGAAAAGGAGGAGGTTCTGAATTCAGTAGTTTATTTTAAAGTGAAACTTTTATTACTCGCCCGTCACAATTTTCTTTGTTCATCTTTAGTATGTTGCATTACATTTTTTATTGTTATTAACGACGACAGAATAATAGAAGAATAAGACATCCTGAATTTTGAACTGAACGTTCATTCAAAATTGTTGCGTACTTGATATAGTTTTCATAAAATTCTATGGCATAGTTAATTAATTGTACAGGTTTTTTTTTCTCATGACGGACTTCCTCTGGAGTCAGACAGGCGCCGTTACTAACGGATAGGGATGTAATGTAGGGCGAGCCCAACGGTACCCTTATAAGTACGAAGTCTATTAACAACACAACACTATTACAGAGTAAATTTATTATCTCTTCAAGTATTTTTCACAGTTGAAGTATGAAATGGCACCATCGCTTCCGGGAGATTTTCTTGTAGAATATTGTTTTTTTGTAGACGACAGAATAATGAGTTAGAGTTTTACTTTCAAAATGTCATTGCTTTTCGTTTATTTTTTTGTCGATATATACTGCTGAACCGATTTTGCCGAACCGCTACAAGGAGATCTTAAAGAAGAACATATGCTGCTTTTTGTAACTATGGGTAAAATAAAATAGGAGATGAAAGTTAGTTTTTTATATATGAAGGGTTTGAATCAAGCCTCGCCCGCCTGATAATGATCGGCTGCCATAGCCAATGGACGCTAGGCGAGATACCCTGGTCAGTGCAACACGCGCCGTTACTTACTCTGAACCTATCCCCTACAACGCGGAGGCCTCGAACATATTCAACGTCACGATATCAGTGTTATTTCTCATCTTAACACCTTGCAGGTGAAAGTTACTTCCCCAGACAGGCGTTACAATTTGAAAATCCTGTACCTAAATAAAGTTTGTATGGGAAACCAAATCATCTGAGTTATATACATATCTTTGTCTCATATTGTCGCCCTGATCTTCAATGCAATCACCGAAGAAGGAATGTAAGATGAGGCTCTGCGGCACCTAGTAAGTTTCCTCGCTAGAGCTATGAAATAATTACAATCTCAGTAAATATGGAGTACTTGTTCAAAGCTATGAGGTCGCGCCATAATTGTGAGTTTGGTGAAAGAAACCACAGGAAGTGGGCGCTCGTCTCTCGGCCGAATGCGATTGCGTCTTCTTACGTCAACCGGCGGTCGCCCGCCACATTGCCCGGCAAAGGCTGGGGACACACTGGTGATGGTACTACTCTGGCACAATTCTCTAAACCTAAACTTAAATTTGACAACAGTGTATTCTTGTCATTCTCTATACAGAATAATTAGGGAGACTGATTATAATTTAGTTTTAAGTTTAGAGAATCGACACCACTGTGAAAGTAACTTTACACCTGCAACTATACATACCTACTTTAGACGTAAAATAAATATGGTATGTTTTTTCACAACTTTGCACTAGTCTTTTCTAGTTTGTAATTTACCAAAGAAATGTTGGAATTTAAATATCGAAATGCTATCAAAAAATTTCTCGTGTCCTACTCAACTGTATCAAAATAACTATGCAATTTGTTAGAATAGGGTGGGGATGACGTTGATAACGATATAGTAAAAGTAAACTTTAAACGTAAAGGTCTAGCAGACATAACTCGGAAAGGGATCGGATCACCTCACCTCGGGACACGAATCCGACCCGAAGAGATTACGTTACGATTCCAATAATTAGTATGCGTTACAGAAGGGAATTTTATACAGTACAGTAGTTTTATACAATGCTCAACGGATCGAGTTGATTAGTTGACGATCCCATTCAGAGTTGATATATTGTCCGCTACAACCTTATAGGAACAGCGCTCATAAACGCAAATGCAAGTACCCTGATGCAGTTCAGACGTGCCGTGAAATGGTTTTATACGTACCTAGGTAAAAATACATTTATAGATTAATAGCACCAACTATGACTATCGCTTCGCTTCGGTGGAGACTATAGTTTATGTTCTCGGGTATGTATAAGTTATACATCAAAAACCGTCTTCTCGAATATATGTATTGCTGAAAAAATCATTAAAATCCATTATACGTTAAAATTGCGTAGTTTAAAAAATCTAAACGTACAGACAGTGGGAGCGATTTTGTTCCATACTATGATTGCATATAAGATAACAAAATCTGATTATTTTTATTGTAAGTATGCCTATAAGATTCGCATGTAAAAATATAAAGCTAATGTAAATATAATTTTATAAAAAGACGATCACGTACTAAACTTCGACGAAGGTCCAAGTCTAGACTTACCCTAACAACCCACGGAGCGCACCGCTCACCCAAATGGTTTGTTTTTATCGACACCGCCGAATGCGGCAATTATTGTATCTACAAGAGTGCGTTTCCCGCTACGACCGACCTAATGTCTTTTTTCCTGACATTCTTTGAAACATTGAAAGTTCAAATAAGCGGCTCCCTTATTTATTAGGCAAATACAGTGTCCGAGAAGACGTGACCGCCTAGACCGGATACGCGGCCGTGACCGGAAGCTCCCCTTTCATCTCATAATGGCCGTGTCCAATCTGTAAAAAGCAAGGAATTTTTCTACGCGGCTGGCTGCGCACTGAATATTTGTCAAGCCTGGATTCTGAGACATCACATCACGAAGCGAACATTTTTATGCGCACAACACTTTTTTGGCTTCTCACAGCACAGTCCTCACGAATTGCGGATACGAAATTTTGTTCTTTTTTCCAACTTTCCAAGGAAGTGGTTCACGGACTTTTTGAATAGTTTTCGTCGCTTTTGGCGACCTACCGAATTCGGGTGTTTGCTATCCATGAAATTGGTCAACACAAAAATCGCTGAGGAGTTAAACATTCCTTTTGGCTCTTAAAATAAGATTCTTAGTAATTCTAAAACTATTAGCTTATTCTTAGAACAATGCTGAATATGTGGCGTGATACTTTAAACTTTTAGCTCCAAGAAGCCAGCTGCCAGATGACAGAAAGTTATAGGTAAATAGAAGGAAAACTTACGTGCGCAGTCAACGTTCCCCAACCAAATCGGATGTTTCCACTTTAATAACTTATAATTAATTATTGAAGAATGTTTAAGAAAGCAAACGAGATGTGTTTCAATTACTTACGATCTAAAGTTTATCTTAATTGCTATGGCAAGTTAAGATGAGTTATCTTTGCCTATTCATGCGTGTGCGTGAGGAGCCCGATGTCGCAGCACGAGCGTGTTCGGTGTGCAATCGTGGTAGTTAGCAACTTTCGCAATGGGTAGGGACCGTAAGTCCCGGATGCATCTGCAGTCTTTAACATCCTCCAATCTGTATTTAGTCCGTGCGCCATGAGCCACGGCCCAATCCGTAGGGAAGCCCTTTGTCCAAGTCCACTGCTGGGGTACAGGGCTTCCCTATGTACTATGAAATGTAGGCGCGCGCTGGATTCCACTAAACTAAAACCGGCGTATTGTTGCGCTCGCTGCTAAGTTAACAGCCGCCATAAATTTGAATTGAACTTAAAGTGTTATGTTTGAAACAAACTATTTGTTATATGCAGGAAAACTGTACGCGGCGCTGGGTCGTCGCGGCGGGCGCGTGGTAGCCAGCGACTTGCAGAGCGGCTCAGCTTCGTTCCGAGTGCGCGCGCTACTGCCCGTCGCTGAGAGTTTCAAGTTTGCGCTGGAACTGAGGACCGACACGTCAGGACTGGCGGCGCCGCAGCTGATGTTCAGCCATTGGGAGGTAAGGACATGTCTGTCAGTCACAATAGGAAGGAACAAGTAACTTATACGACTGGGTCGTTGTAAAGGGCGAGTAGTTGCCTGTTGCCATAAAATGGGTGTTGCAGATTGGTTTTTCGCGCAGACACTTGAAATCCCTCATGCTCGCGACGCGAATTCGCGCGTCCTCTTTTTATCTCAGAAATATTTTGTGCTTTGTGTTGCGGTGATAAGGGGGAATTTACTTTGTTACATTCTGATTGATGCTTCGATCCTGCACTTTGTATGAATTGCCCATTCATTTTTGAACTTCTCATGACTGTCTGACAAGGGTTAGGGAAAGCGCCTTTCGCAGGGGAATTAACCTCCACCTTATAACGACAGGTTGGTGTAACTACAATGCAAAAGGTTGCTCCAAAGGTCAAGTTTATAGGTATGCGTGATGAGCATTGTTTCCGAGTTATGTATTCTATACCTGTTTAGTTGACATTGTACTATGTCTTTTGCTTAGTTTAGGACAAAGTAATTGTCATGAGTTTCTCCGTATGTTTTTATGGATTCCGTACACAAACCCCCTTACTAATAAACGAGGAATAAGTTTAGACTAGTTACGCCATGTTTTGTTCATATCACTCAAATGCCATTTGTCATTCGATGAACAGAGACCAAGCATTGAGTAACTAATCCAAGCTTATTCTTTGTGTATTCATAAGGGGGAAAGAGTAAATACGGGACCCTGTTACTAAGACTCAGCTGTCTGTCTGCCACCAGGCTACATCTGTGATAGCCAGACAGTTGAAATTTTCACAGATAATGCATATCTGTTGCCGCTGTACCAATAAATACTTAAAACTGAATAAAATAAATATTAAAGGTTTTTTTTTGCCGTTCTCTGCTCTATATTAATAACAGTAGACGCTTGAAATAAACACAGAATATTTATTTGCATATTCACTTTTAAAATAAATAGTAAAATTAAATTAAAATAAATATTAATAAAAATAATATACTATATTTAGGTATACAACATTATTTGTATAGATAATGGTACAGAACCGTGAGTCCGACTCGCACTTGGCCGATTTTCTTTCTCATTTTTACCTTAGGTACGAAAGAATGCACTTTTTTAGTTTACATTAACACTATATTCTATGATATAGTATTTACATGAAAGCTACAGTACCTAAACCATAAAAACTTTGTTTTCGCAGGTGATAGACATAGACCCGTTCTGGCGACCGAGCACAGAGGAAGAGTACCTTCACTGGGGAGAGAAGTATGACGGGGTTAACCGCGCCAAGGAGTATATGGACTCGGTGCGCGCTAGAAAGGGACTTTCCACGGACAAACAATTGGTGCAGCACGCTGAGAAGCAAAGGACACTCTCCAGGAAGAAATAGTAATATACCAACTACGGATAACCGCGCCAGATGCAAAGAACAGTCTCCAGAAAGAAATAGAACTTGTAAACTCGACCCTGGGGAACTCCATAGGGGCACCGCCCAATAATCAAAAAGAAAAAGAAGAAGAAATAGAACTTTACCAACTACGGATAACCTGATCAGAAGCAAAAAACAATCTCCAGAAGGAAATACAACTTCAGTAATTACGAATCATCCCGTGCGCACCAGGAAGATACTCCCTACGGTTAAACAACTGGTGGAACACACGGAGAAACAAAGGACACTATCCAGGAAGAAATAGATTTAATACACCCCGGAAAACTTCTTGAGCATTGACCATGGACGAAAAAGCCTACGCGGTGACAATTTTTGTCACAAAAATATCTAGTGCGCAAGTTTGTTTGTCTGTGTCTTTGTTCAAGAAGTTCAAGAAGCAAACAACGCTCTTCAGAAGAAAATAAGACTATTAACTACTCGGTCCGCGCCAGAAAGGGACTTTCCACTGACAAACAACTAGTGGAAAAGTAGAGAAAACTGCCGAGGAAGAAATAGTACCTACCTATAACGACTTAAGATTAAATTATTTAAAATGACGAAGGGCTTTGTAGTCGTGGCGTAGTATACGTATCACAAAAATATCGAGTTTCGTGCAAACTGAGGCAAAGACAATTCACGAATTGGCGCAATTGGCGTTCTCCCAAACTAACGGGAATTTCCGCAAAATTTACTGTATTTTGTACCTTTCACGCGGTGGGTCGCCGTCAGATGCCGTTTGTTGATTTTGTTATCTTCTTCTATGGGAAAACAATGCAGCCGAAAACCGTTGATCAATGTGACTTGTCCCAAATCTTTTATAAAAATTAAACAAGACGGCGCAGCGCACACCGGGAGAGGCGCCAGTGAAGATACTGAGAAGTTAACAATTTAAGTCAAACCCGAATTCCTATAAGTATAAAATGTTCATGTTAACCATATGTCGCGAAGGGACTTTGGGCGCTTTGAACGGAGCGAAGCAGAGCGCTGTGCCCCGCTTGTGTATTGTTTCATGTTTGCCATGAAATTTTTAAACTTATTATATAGGAATTAGGGCTTAACTTAAATTAACTTAGTTAACTTCTCGGTATCATTGCCCCTCTTCTCCTGGTGTGCCTATAAATGCAACAATAAGGCTCTATAACCTTGTAATAGCGTGACGTCATGTAACATAAAATTTAGCAATAATTTTGATGTAACCTTGTAATATAGTATTGTTAAATTAATGCGTACTTGGTACATTTATGTATAACTCAAGTAAATATTATTTGTAAATGATTTGTTATATTTTTAATACTTATTACAATTTGATGTTTTATTCTTTAATCTAACCCTCCACGTAACCAATTTAATATTTCATAAGTCACATGATGAGCGTTTAATAAAATAATTATCGTGGCTCTTACTTTAATGAAAATATCACAACAGTGCAATTAAGCACCTATCTTCATGTTTCGATAATAATGCGTTAATAGCAACATAAATGTATTCAGCCCAACGCAGCGTTTCCACTTTAGCTTACTACGCTTAGCACGAACCAAAATCGAATTCGAATAAGAGGTTAAATTAGATCTCGTTACACGTCTAACACCTATATTACCGTGCGTCTAATCTCAAAAGTTTTGTATGGAAGGTTTTTTAATTCTCGTTACGACCGTTGTGGCGTTGTTCAAATTTCCATCTCAGTATAAATGATTTGCAATTTTCATTCAAGCCTTCTTGACTGGTATCAAATCGAATTTAACTATTCGAATTAGATATTGGTTCGTGCTAAGGGTACAGAACACTTTTAAACGAACAAACATTTGCTCGCTCGGTAAATAGAGAATATAGAACGAGCGAACGAGTTTGTACAACGATGTTTGATTGGTCTCAAAGACCGAATGCTCTCTGGCTCGGTCTTCAATGGAAACAACGCAAGAAGTAAGAGTGTCCAAGAGTGTCCAATATAAAAAAAATGACACTCAAGTGTCATGGGACGTTTGAGAGGGGAATTTGTTCTTATGTAGATAAAAGCGATATCACTTCTAAGAGTTTATCTATCCATCCTACTTTTCACTGTTGTGACTTAGATTAAACGTTAACAGATATTTCCCATAAACATAAAATTTATTACGTTTATTCATGAAAAAGAACTAAATAAATAAATGTTGTATCTCGATTAGAAATCAACCGTTTTATACTTTTGTGTACTTACCTACAAGTCTCAAGTTTTCAAATAGAAGCGCACATCCACTATTTTTGTTGAGTCGCTGTTAAGATGTACGAAATACTTGTAAAAGAGGAACATTCAATAAAACAACTTCATTCATTTAACTATCTATCTATTACTTACAGTAAACAACAAATACAAAAAAAAAACATTGTCGTACACCAAAATGGTTAACAATTCCTACGCGGTAGAAATCAATTAACTTAATGACCAAATGAAATCACCATCCATAACTGAATTAAATTGTTACATTGCACATTCACACCGTGAGCTGGGAGTAATGAGATATCTCTGCCCATTTTTTTTTCTTATTTTACTTACATGAAAATAAATTACTTATATCTATCTATCTCTTGAGGAGTCCACACGATGTTTTAAATGTTAAACGCGTTTACATATATAAATTAAAATTGATCTTGCATAATCAACATTCTCTCGCGTTCTTCTAACATGGTTACAATATAACTATAACAAAATAATATTACAACACCAATATATTTCGGATGTTAAAATCGTAATATGAAATAAAACATCGGATCTCTACCTAAGCCTAGCTATTGTACAAACTTATAATTCTATCTAAGATTGAAATATTAAGTTATCTAGTGTTTTTTGTCTTTGGCAATATTATAATGATATAAATATAACAGAATCATTCCCAGGGAAGTGAACTTAAAACAACCGTTTTAAACTGTGTCAATGTAAGAATATGTTGTATCAACCACATAAATTTTAGATTCAAACAAAATGTTGAGAATGGCAATTGAGGCGTTAATGGTGTCGATTCTGACACGATTCTTTAAACCTAAACTTAATTTTGACAACAGTGTATCTTTGTCATTCTCTATACAGAATGAAAAGGTGAGACTGATGTTAAATTTTGTTTTAAGGTTTAGTGAATCATGCCAGAATCGATACCAATGTTTTATTATTCGTAATAGACGCCTGTAAAATTTATCTGGAAATAGTTTTGAAAGAACGATTCATTTTTTGAATTATTAATTAATTACAAGAAATAATATAATTATGATTAAAATACAAATAACCCTGATAGGTACCAACAAACTTCTAAAAAAGTAACATGTAGGAGGATCTTGACTGTGTACATAACAACTTGAAGTATCTACCATTTTTATTTAATACACAATTTAAGAGGCAAAATACGTTGATTTTAAACGGACTAAACACAAGTCACTTTGGCACCGATGGTAACAGGACGAAATAAGATTTTATAAAATTGACATTTTAAGATTGGAAATTAATATGGCGACTTGTATTTTGTCGCTATTATTTTCCTCTTTTAAACGGACAATTCCTATATTAACACACGGTATAGCGATGATAAACATTAATTCAACAATATAACAAGTAATAAATGTTACACCCAAAAGTTCAAATTTTCAAAGAAATTCGCAATAATAAATAAGCACTAGCATATTGTTAATGACATCTATTCTTTTTTTTATAAAGTAACAGTATCTGACATTCGGTTAGTTTAAAACAAATTCTGCCAGGTATTCCATGATTTTCTATCCACGCCATCTACTTAAAAGTGATGGAACTATTATTAAAGGGTTGTTTATCTAACAGATGGCATTTTCCATATATTTTATCACAGAAGTTTTGGTATTCCCAATAAATTTTGCAGATGAGCTGTTTACCTAGCAAGGGAGAGACTTTAGTTGACACAAAGGTACAAACAACATTGAGCTTTATCGGAAGAGATTTTAGAGTCACTTCTGCTACAAGATATATTTTGTCACTAAATATCTCCCTGCGCAATTGATTTCTTTAATATTCATCATTACATTCATAACAAGCTTAATTAATTAAGCGACATATTATGTATTGTTTAATGGGACTATTTTTTAATCGAAATTATGGTATCTCATTTTTTTCTACGTGCCGTGCCTATAATGTTATATGAATGGGAATAAATATATATCAGTCGTGATAAGTCACTCATAAATGTAGGCATCCGTAAATATATGAGAAATGCATATTAAACTTAAACATTATTGCAATACATCCCTGTCATTCGCGGAATGCAGTATAAAGAAAATTTACCTAAATACACCGGGACAATGTTCAACTCATACGACACCTTTATGTATCCTTCATTATTTAATAATATAGTGCTCAGTTAGACAGAGTGCTCATGGTTATCGGATATAAGTTCCTTACTTCTAAACAAAACATCCTTGAGCTTTACCATAGACTAGAATAATAATTTAGCTATAATACACGAAGTTTACAGGACGATTAATTGTTCACTATAATCTAACGAAACCCCATTCATAATAATATCAATATTGAAACAATTCTCGCAAAGACAAAGAGAAGTCGACTCCAATAAGTACATAGAAAATTTTCACTAAATTAAAAAAATAATGCTTAACTTTAATATTCATTGAAGTCAAACTATTTATACTGAATTAAATTATTATTACTTTTTACATTGTTATTCAGAAGTCCATTTATAAACGTATTGTAATTAAAGCAGCTGGGTAAAATTGAAGACATAGCGCATAGTGATTTTTATCTCCATCAAGCAAGTTGTAAGTTCCTTAAAATGTAAACGACATCTCGCAAATTCCGAGTAATTTCATTATAGCAGTCAGAAGAAGTTCCCTAGTTTTCAGTAATAATAATTTGGGTTCCAAATCAATTACTATCGTTCGGATTTATGCATTTCAATATGTGTGGTGAACTTTAAATTACAACACGTTTGACACTAAATTAACCCCATTGGCAAGATATATTACAACCTATTTGGCAAGCCGCGGAACAAGCTTTCAATTTGGGTCCCATATTGGCTCGCTACCTCCTTATGTCTTCCCATTACATCGGAATGTTGGAAAAGTATCCTACTTATTTACTAGCACCACTGCCTTTCGTTTGTCACAATACACAATTGTACAAATTCCATGTAAATGCATTCCAATTTAAAGTTGTGGCAATAAAGACTTTATAATGTTGAATAAATTTCATGGTTTGCCACTTTAGGTCTATAATTGCTTACGCTACATAGCAACATAGCAGTACTTGTAATAATATAAACGAGTCCCCGCAGCATGAGCAACGCAATTTAAATTATAACACGTTTTATCTCGTGTAACTGTGAAACTCCATAGAATTTGACAATGCAGCGTGATAAAAACGAGTTATATATCATATCATATAGCGGCGCGTTGCTCATGCTAGAGGGGCTGAGTTTAAACCATTATAGCCTTAAGCTGTCAGCCACCAGCGTCGACTATAGATACTATGGAAAAAAAATAAACAAATACGTTAAGTATTTATATTTAAAATTATGATAAAATCTATGTTTAGTAGACTTAGCATTGGTTTCGAAACCCTTTGAACAAGACGTTTACAATATTGTTTTTTTTTTTTCAAATTAAAAAGAATTCAACCGTAACAATTATTATATTAAGCCTTTATCCCATCAGCACCTTAATCTAGCTCTTCACAGTTATATAACCAATGCTAAACATGTATACATTCAAGAGCACACAATTTTGAACATCAACAAGTGAAATATAATAATGTATTGAAAACATTTTGAGTTTCTTGTTTTTGTGTTGATAAGTTTTTTTTTTCTTTAACATGATTAATATCAAGATAATGGAACCACAATTGCGCTATGACACCATGTCACAAACTAAAGGCCAAAATAATAGGATCAACATTGACTCAACCACCCAATATGATTCGATAGGATTGCCATGTTAAATTTTATAAATTATCGAAATATTACAAAGTAAAGAATCACTATTCAATGTACTGGACACTGATAATGTTGTAGAGACTTAATTTACTATGTTTTTAAAACCAAGTGGACTTTTTTGGATTGCATGCCTGGATAATCAAACAGTTCTAGGTTATTTTAATATACGCAATAATAAAAACAATTATAAGGCTAAATTAGAAAAATCTTTATAATATTTCAATATTTCATAAGTCTTAATTTTAATGTGTTTGACACTATTATAATGACGTAGAATATGCCTCATAGACACTCACTGAAATGAATTCCTATCCTTATGTACATCACATCACATATATTACATCCAAAACGGTATTACAATATAAAACACTTGTATCGTTGGACATGAATAAACAATAATTTCTCTGTCATAAATATATTCGACACTAATAATGTAGTAGGGTCAAGAAGGGGAGAGTGCAACAAGGAGCACAGTGTCACAAAAGGAATATCCCGGTGAACATAATATAACCAGCCATTTGACGTCTGATGACAGCTGGTTAAGATGGCGGCATATCAAACTAATAAAACCACGTCAAGATAGACCATAGACAAATAAGGAAAGGGCAGAGATATTTCTTATGTTACACTGTGCTCCTTGTAACTCTGTCCCCAACTTGACCCTGAGATATATTATTTTGCTAACGATTCAAAATAAGATAACTATTTGCAAAATCCAATATTGTTATTGAATAAATATAATGGCTTTATAAAGAAATCTATATGAAAACTGAATTAAAATAAGTGTGCTAACGAAATCTGTAATGACACTTTTGTTCACGTATTAACAAAAAATAAATAAAAACAAAATCCATATTTTTCTTTAATATAAGTGTCAACACTTTCGAGCAAAAGTCCGGTACACTGTTTCATCTCGGCACAGATTTTAAAGTTAAATTCAATATGAAATATCATTTGGTAGATAAATAAATTAAAATGAAATAATATTTTCAAACGTTAAGATGATGTTAATGTTAACTATATAATATAATATATTAACTTGAAATATTTTTGCTCGTCCGTGTATTTCAGTAATTTGAACTGTATGAATATAGGTCAACACACATCGTTTCGACAATAGACTTAATGAACATTTTTAAAATTTTACCAATCACATCTCGTCAAGAGAATTCACGACATTCTGGCATATTATATTTCCGGTAAAAGTAAACTAATTTTGTTTCAAATTATCAGCTCCCTTAGCTATTTTTATTCACATGATAAAACTGTTAATAGAAACCAAATACTTGGATTTTTTGGATATTTTAACAAGGACTGCAAGTAATTGATGCATCGCTACAAAGACTTGTTAACGTCAATTGTTTGTCAGTTCAGTTGCGATAATTTTTAATTTAATTTGGTTCAATTTTCTGCAACGCAATTTCGAATATGGAATAGAATTTTACTAACTTTGAAAAAAAAACTCATTCTTTTAATATTCTCCCATTGGGAAGGCAAAAGGTACTGAGATCATACGGCTTCGTCCTTTAAGGAATTTGATTTCATGAAAATTTCAAATGTAGATTTTTATAAGATTGCAATAATGTTTTTAAGAATGAAATGTTCAGATTAAACTAAATTCATCTAGATGTTGAGCGTTTTCGCGTGTGTGTATGTGTGTTTGTTGAATAGAACGTCACTCACTGGTGTCGATGCGGTTGCTAACTGAACGCGGTTTCGTTGGGCACGTCCGTTACGGGTGAATTCTGCGCCATATCTGATAGTATCACGCCCGATAACGCTTCGAGAGATTGCCGCACCTGCGTATAAGAAAGAGATGATGATAGTTTTTCTCCATACGAATGAATAGAGTGAGCAATACTTACATGAAATAGGGAAGATGCATATATAATATTTATGAAAATTTTATGATTAAAATGTTAAAAAAATATAAAAGAAATGCCACTGCAACGTTTTTATTTTACATAATGTTGTTTTTTAACAATTATTACGAAGTAAAATACTTGAAACGGAACGTATTTTAAAACACCAATCAGTGTTTAGTGACGTCACTCCTGTTATGACAACTTCTTTGAGGTTATGGTTGTTAGAGTAAATATTATTTTATGGGAATATTTATTGCGTTTTTTTACATTTAATAAAAATGGAAGTTGCGTTTATCAAAGCAGACTCCAGGAATTTACCAAGAGTTAGCGTTGACATGATTATAACTTTTTTTGTCCAAAGTGTAGAAATGAAAGGGACTAAATTACTACGGTATGCAAAAATCGTAGTTGTTAAACTTCGTATTTTATTCAGCGGCTTCTACAAATCTTACGGCGATAATGCAACCGGCTATGTCCAAATTAATGTACAGTAAAAGGTCGAGTTCTCCGAAGCATAAAGTACGTAAAGAAGGTTATCGTGTTACAGTTATTTTAAATGAAACGCAAAGCTTGGTTCAGTCCTGCCAATGTGCAGATTGCCACACATTTTAAACTTTATCTAATTTTCGACGTCATTCTCCAACTGTAAAATTAAAAATATGTTATAGACAGGTTTTGTAAGTATTAGGTAGGTTACTAATGCGTTTTCACGTACAAGCAGATTAATTAAGCATATAACAAGTATATTCGCCGACTTACGTCAAAGTGATTTTCTCAGCATCGAATAAATTGGAGAATAATTGTCATTTCTCTTCGCAGCTTGAAACCACTTTTTTTTCAGTTTTGGGTCAGAAGTTCCAGTCAAAAACAATTTATTTGGGAACTTTGTTGAAGTAGATTGGCACAAAACATGAGTCAACACGGCTTTTTTTCAGAATATTAGTGGTATTGTTATGATCACATGATGTTGATGGATAGTCCATTTTAAATTTATAAAAAAAGTATTTCGAAAGTCGAAAAAATGTGTAAAAGTATGAAAATTTAAAGCCAGCAACGAACAATTACGACCAGTGACAGACAGGAGTGACGTCATCGCAACCATAGGTTCGTTTTCGCGCGAAAATTTAAATTGTCAATTTAAAACCGCACTTTTTCCGATAAATCACAATGTTTTAATTTTTTAATATATCTGTGGTTTATTCTAAATGGAATTCTTTAAAATGAAAACAAAAATAAAAATATTGCATCTTCCCTATTGAATACTCTGTACAAAATAAGAAAACGATGCTTTTCAATAAGTTACGGCCAACGAGAAGCGAAACAAAACGTGAACAAAGTCCATTATAGGACATTCGCCAATGCAAGGGTTGGCAACATTTTTGAAAATAACCTTACTACGTTTAAAACTTAGCAACAGTATAATAAAAACGAAAAATAGCAATAATTGAAATCATCAAAACAGAACATCAAAATAGTTAAAAAAAAATATTACAAACTAGTTATATAACATGTGCAAGTAGTACCGAAAAGGCATTTTTTTTTTAGAAAATTGAACTAGAAATAAATCCACACGAACCAGGCAGCAGACTGGACTCGAACCCGCAACCTTGGCTATCCCGACGAATGCACTAACCATTCTGCTTACACGGCCCTGATGGCCGTGTGGAATTTTCTCATCCATCCCATCTCTTCACATTGTAGGTAACCCACAATGCAAAATGAATGCCTTTACAAGTATTAAACATTTGAAAGAAGAAATGGCAATTATAGATATTTTTTAAGAATTTAACTGCCAGATGTTTAAATTTAAAGAATGAGATATTGTGGGTTACCTACAATGCGAAGAGATAGCGCTGCCTTGCAGCTTAAGAAAGGCTAGTGAAAATTCGACACGTCCATCAGGGCCGCGTTATCATAATGGTCATTGCATTCGCCCGGATAGCGAAGGGTGCGGGTTCGAGTCCCGTCTTCTGCTTGGTCCGCGAGGAATTTCTTTAATAAAATTTTCTTTAGATATGTACTGTACATCTAGCAGTTACATGCTTAAAAAACCATTATTTTTTACTATAAAATGGCCGCCCGAATGTTGGCTAACTCGGCGCCTCGGTGATCACTTGACATGTCCGAATGAGATCTAATGTCATATTATAAGAGATGAAAGAGATAGCAATACATTATTGGGCACCATTCCTGACGGCGGCTCTGATTTATTTTTTATTTTGTAAATTGTATTTATTTAAGTACGTAAGTTTTAAGATAACTCTGATTTTAAGTTTTTAGATTTAAGTAGTTTTAATCTTTTGTAATTTAAATATTTCTAAACATTTAATATTATCTGAAAAAAGAGATAGTAATAACTGTCTGACTGTCAGTACGATATTCTCGTCTAAGGTGAACTTTTGTATCGCTTCTCGTTTGTCGTACTTTAGTTATACAACGTGTATCAGAAATACCACATTCCCTGGAAGTATTTTGGTTGGAATGGACTACTGAATGGATTTCAATAAAAAAGTAGATGTATATAAAAAATCCAAAACAAATAATTGGCATTAGTTTAATCATTCTAAACAAAAGAATATGACACATGATTTGTATACTGTACCCTTAGCACGAACCCACACGAACCATTATGAAATTCGAATAGTTTGCAAACCGAAATGTCAATGTCAAATTTTGTATGGAAACTTGAACAGCAGCGGCACAAAGTACGTAACGAGAACTAAAAATCAATACACATTTGACAATGACTCGGACTCGCAAACGATACGAATTCGATATTGGTTCGTGCTACGGGTACTGTTACCTTGTGGTAATAAAAGCTATTTTTCAATGCAACGGTACATGAAATAATTTTACTAACATCGAGATGTCGCTGGTTAAACTCATTAAATAAAAACAAAAATATTTTTTGTTTCTACTTGCAGATTAAACCCTGAAAGTAGTTTTTCACAAATATGAAAATTATTAATTGTGTGTTATTTCAGTTACACGTTATAAAGTGTATAATATAACTCAAATAACCTTAGTGAGCAAGATCAGGTTAGTCGACAGAAACGCGTGCAATTCTCCCGCGGCCCGACCATGCAGTCTGGTCCGCCATTGGACCAACTCGGAATACAACTCGTCGCTGGATAAGTTGCTCAACTCGTCCTGTAAATAAATCAACATTTCATCATTTATCAGCCTATTGATGTCCCCAATTACTATTAATGTAATATTTTTATGTTATAATATGTTACATTTTTTTTATATGTATTAATTGGTATGGTAGTTTCTTTCGTTGTATCATTATTGTTTAAAAAAATCTGCGTCATCAACCTTAGGCCCTGCCAGAATCATCAGCGCTGCAGCAGCCTGGTGCTGCTGTAGCATTAAGCTGAGGCAGGGACCTAGTTGGCCTATTTTGCCTTGTTTTATTTATGTTAATATGACTATGTTTAAAGTTAATAAATTTATTTCTATTCTATAAGAGTGCGCAGTTGTTCCACACCTAGACACCGAGTGCAACTTTTCACTCTGATATTTAAATTTTTAATTAAAAATGTATGAAAAATAATGACTATTTGATCCACGTAGATGCCAACTTCCATCCGCAGTGAAGGAATGGAACGCAAAATGTCAGTATTTTGTAAGGTCATCTTGTTTGTAGGTTGATATAAACGCCCAAGAGTTCCAGGGAGCGTTTACCCTATTTCACCCATAGAGGTATAAGAATAGAGTAGGGGAGATATAGACTCTACTACAAGTGGATGTGTCCCTCTAATAGAAAGAGAAGAAAGATGAGAGACCGCTAGCTTTCTCTCTCTAATCGGGCATGCGCATTGGCAACCGTAAGCATCTTACTATTTCGATGTGATGCCATGCGTCACAAGAGAGAGAGATAGCTAGCAGTCTCTCATCTTCTTTCTCTTTCTACTAGACGGACACTTTTAAGAGCCATCTTCCCCACTCTATTCTTATACCTCTATGATTTCACCTTGTCCAGACAATCTCGGAGCTTACCGCGGTGTCGGTGTTGATGCGGTATAGTTTGTACGCGAGGCAACAGGCGGATATAGTGAGCACCGCCGTCAGCAGTAGCAGTAGAGGGCGCCACCAGTCGTACGGGGAGTGGTCGAGTTTCTTGTTGGGTGGAACGCTGCCGGTCAGTAAGGCAGGTTGGATTACTGCTGCACCTGCAAACATATAGATAAGCTTATGTTATTTATTTTTTAAGCATTTAACAGATAGATGTGCAAATCTAAAAAAAAAATTACTAGAAAAAAATCAACGCGATTTCAAAGGGTGCGGGTTCGAGTCCCATCTGCTGCCTGGTCCGCGTTGAATTTTTTCTAATAGTATTTTCTAAAGATTTATATGATTAATAAACCTTCAATCGTCTGTGTGATAATCATTGCAATGTAACGACGACTTTCGATTTCTGCTCAATTTTGTAACTTGGTACAAATTATCTTGAAAAACATCTAAAATTATACGCTCTTACCAAAATCTTAATAAAGACTCATTTATACGATGCAATTTTCTTGCACATACGAGAGCAATAATTGAATGCAATAAATGTGGCGCAATAATTGAACTTCAAGAATTGTAAGCAACTGTTTACATGCGGATATAAGTAAAAAGGTTGCATACAATTATTGAATGCCAATTTTGACATAAAAGAATCGCAAATGTCTTTTGTTTACACCAAATACAATTATATTTCGGAGATTATTGCTTTTAAGTTTTGATACGTCTAAACATAGGATTGTATGTATGTGCGTGTACCATTTTTTGAAGAGTTGCTTCAAGAATTGAACTTATTTGCATTGCCATATTTTTCATTCAAGTGTTGAACGTTTTAGATCAGGGTTTGTTTATAAACAATACATTGAGATTTATCGCAATTATGAATGTACCTAGTCAGGTCATTAATTCTGCCACATGTTTAATATAAAATAAATGAAACAAGTTTATTGATTATGTAACCATTTATATACCAAAATGAACTTAACAAAACATAGATTCTTATGACAATAAAGTTTATTCAAAATGACCTCCGTGATTTTGAATACAGGTCTTCAATCTGCGCGGCCAGTCGTCTATCGCAGCACGAACGAGGTCCATGTCAATATCGGCAGCTGCCTTAATCAAGGATGTCTTGAGCGACTCCAAATTGGGATGAGGCTTTGAGCACGCCTTTTCCTCCAAGTGTTGCCATATCTTGTAATCTAACGGAATCAAATCTGGACTGGAGGAGGGCCAGTCTTCGTGCCGGATGAAGTCGATTTCTCTCAGATTTTCTCAGTCTTGTGTGCTCTTCGCTCTATGGGTTGGCGCCGACTCTTGTTGGAATACCCAGTGCCTGTTATTGAACATGGTAAGAGAAACAGGTTCCACAAGGTTCGTCAGGACTGTATTTTGATACACAACTGCTTTCGTTTATACACCTTTCTCACAAAAATGTACCTCTGTTAAGCCCCAATAACAAACTCCCAACCATACCATGAGCGAGGATGGAAAATGACCTCGTTCGACACGCGGAATACGGTTGTTCGCTTCTTCACTACTGTATGCGTACACCTTATCACTTTGTTTGTTGTAGCTCTCTTCTGCGGTAAAAATTTTTTCATCCGAAAAAAGAATTTCCCGATATTTTTCCCCCGTACCGCTTCAACGAAGCGCGGCATCTCTTCAGTCTCAGGTCCATTAGACGAGCATTCAAACGATGTCCCGTTTTTCTTCGATATGCCCGAAGCCCTAAGTCTTCATTTAAAACTCTTTTCACCGTGGTTCTGTTTAACCCCAACTGAAGGGCCAACAGTTTCTGCTTACGTTTGGGATTTCTTTGTTTTCGCGCCTTCACAGCTTTTATCACTGCTGGAGTCCTAACAGACCGAGGACGACCACTTCTTGACCTTGTCATCTACACTAATGTCTTCATTGTATCGTTTGATGGTACGATAAACGAATCTTTTGGTTATATTCAAATTTTTCAGTGTCAAAAAATTTAATTGGCGCGTAACCGCAACGATGCAACGCAATAACTGCAACACGGGCTTCTTTAAGCGTCCAATCCATATTTAAAAATGAGTAAAATTCTAAAAAGTATCTATTTTTATTTTCATGAACAATTCGATTTCAATAAACTTTTTTGTGTCCAGCATTCTAAAAGAAAAGTTTTTACTGTGTGACAATACTTATGACCTGACTGTGTATATGGGGCACATAGTGTAAATTACAAAAATCGTGATGCACGTAATGCTACACTGCAGCATTTTGCTCGGAAATTTTAGTTGTGGACTCGGAAGTAGGAAATAACAATAAAAAAAATGCGTGGGTGTCGTGGAACACTCGGTTGGGTCGAAGTTAATAGTAGATTATTTACTAAGGGAGAAAATAACAATTTAATAGACGACAGCGTTTTTTGATTCTAGTGTAGGATTTTGTAGATAAAAGACTGTATCAGATTTTTAGCATACTTTCATTCTCACTACACGAAAACGACATTCATTTTTAATAAATCTAAATTTTTGAGTACCTATTAAACAGTTGAACGACGGAAAAATATTTCGCGCGTTTGTATTTTTTGGCATTAAAAACGCTATTTTGCTCCCTAGGGATTAAAACGCTTTGTTGGTCTCTGTAAATAGAGAACTAACTAGCTCTTGAAATAGATTTAATAAAAAATATTTGTTTACCACCCAACAATCCCCCACTGGGCCCACGTGGCGAGCCATGGCTAAATCTCCCTATTCCATAAAAAAAGGTATCCTACTCACCAATCCGCACCGGGCCCAGTGCGGACCGAATATAAACTTTGTTTAAATAAAAAAAAATAAGAACTACTCTATCACTTACCGGCGGCAATGATGGCTTCCGATTCCCGTCTGACTGTGGCCGTGGCAGCGTCCACGTGATCGCCGCCTGCTGAGCTGCTGTCGTCTTCGGGGGAATACTCAGATGCGTCTAACTCCACCTCTGACGCCCTCAGATCCTGCGAAAGGAGAAGCATTCCTTTAGTTGCTACTTTACTAAGTATCTTTTTTTGTTATTGCCTGCGAAGGCAGACGAGCGGGCTGGCCACTTGATGTTAAGTGGTCACCGTCGCCGATAGACATCAACAATGCCAGTGACACAGCCATGCCACTGCCTTTCGTGGAACGCTCTATTTAAGCCTCTCAGTCTCAGAGGACCATATTATAGTATTGAGGAAACACCGTGGGGGGTGTTCATCTCTTAATTTTATTTACCGTGGAATAAAAAGTCTCTGGAAACGAACAGTTTTGGACTTTAGTGTTTCCAGGTAATATGGGTGAACTCGAATCCGGTGACGAGTGGAGCGGTAGAATAATGGTGCTGTGGATATAAACTGGAACAACTCCTCGGAGCACTTACCATGAAAGAGCCTGCAGAATACGCACAGGCCACTGAAGTCCCATAAAGAATCGATCAATGAATCGTTTATTTCCTGTTTAAAAAGGAAAAAATACAGACCGGTTACTTGAAATTATGAAAAAGGTTTACGACGGAACCAGGGGGCCAACCGCCAAACGGAATTGCAAAGGCTGCGATAGCCTTACGATTTCATTTTGTTATTTTTGACCGCCTAAGGTTTTCAGATATCTCACGCTTATTTTCTTTAATATTGTTATTACCAATGCAAAAAAGGGCGCAAGCCATTTCAAAAACGAATAATATGAAATCGTAAGCAATAGCGATAACCATAGCAATCCTGTAATGTGAATGGCCCCCAGTACAGCTCCAACTCTGTGGTTGCCCATTAAGAACTCGTTCCCACTTGTCGGTTAGTATTAATCGGAGGTTCCAGTGGCAGAGCATTATATATGAAGCTATTCACACTTATCGGAAACCTATTTTGTGTCGGCTCCGACAAGAAGTGTTGGGTGTTTTGCCAGCCCTCTACGCCCGGAAAAAAGTCGTGTCGGATCTCGCTCGCCTATGATTAAGAATGGCGCTGTTCATATTTGTCGGCTGACTATCCTACCCCGCTACCCCTGGTTACGTCCGTAACGCAACCCTTTTTCAGTACAAATGCAGTCTCTAAGTCCTGTATTTTGGTAGTTTATGTTCACTAATATTTGAGTCAGTAGATCGTTGAATGTTGATATTGACATCCTAAAATAATAGAAACACTTAATTTCGTCATTTCTCAATTCTGTTACGAAGTTCTGAAATTTACCCAAAATCAAATCTTTCCCTCAGGAATATGTGCACCCAATATATACATACCATGGCTCTCTTTCTTTGTTATCTTAAATAATAATAAGAACATCACAACAAGAACTTCGTCAACATCAACGTAAACAGTCGCCTCGCGTAGAGTGCCTAAAATTGGTTAAAGCTTCAACCGTGACCGACAACCGATTATTAATCGTGTGTGTGAACAAAGGCACCGACATCCGATTAATATATGGATCCGGCACCCGACAAGTGGGAACCAGCTAACTTTGCAAGATTTACTTCCTTTTCGAATTCATCATCATCTGCAGCCGATGGATGTTCAATCAGGTGCTCATGGCTCTAACCACAACGTCTGATTTACCTGAGGCTTCGGGGTAGCTAGCACTGGTGCCGTAGCTGCCTTCCATACATGCATCATCAGCTTGTAGGTGAAATCTCGCGACAAACAATCTCCCTATCTCATTCGTAGAAAAGGCCTGTATCTCAGCAGTGGGGACATTGATATGCTGTTGATGTTTTACCTGAGGCTTCGGGGTGGCTATATCTAGATATTAATAGGCTGACGATTTACCTGAAGGTTGTATGATATCTCCTTTTCAAATTCATCATGATCTACAGTTAATGGACGTTCACTACCTCTTTCGTCTAGGGAACTGATTCCTTTCTTCGTTTTCAGTCCATTTCCCGCCTGATCGAGTGAGCCGTTGTCTTTTCTAATAACCATGTCTTATTTACCTGAGGCTTCGGGGTGGCTAATTCTGGCGCCCTGGCTGCCTTCCACACGTGCATCATCAGCTTATAGGTGGAATCCCGCGACAGCAGCGATCCGAACACGTGCCGCTCATCGCGAGTGCAAACGCCCACAGCATTCGGAATTATACGGGCCACCTTCTCCTTAGTTATCCGGAGGACTGACGGCGTCGGGATGAGTAACTGGAACAATGAGATAAAACATATTTTCAACATCATCATCATCGGCTTATGAATTTCCCTTCTACTGAGGCACTCCACAAAGCAAGTTAGTGAGAGCGTTTAGGAAAACGTCACCAGTTAGCGTCACTGTGACGTGAAGTCTCTTGTGTGAAGTTTTTGGCGCGAATAAATTGAACAAGTATTTAAATTGATCCATAGACTATGACGACATTCGTTATTCGGGGGATGAGTAGACTTTTCGGTTCAGTGATGGGGCCTCAATAGGAACTGGGACTCTCTAGATTGAGAACACGATACGACATACGATGTAAACAGACGGCAAAGACGATTTTTATTGTTTTTCATCATATTTTTAGACCGCGATATATTGAAGACGATACGATAATATCTCGCTATAGTGACCGCGCGAACTAAAACGATTCTGAAACGTTCCCAACGACATATCTATACTAATATCATAAAAGCACATCTGTCTGTTACCTCTTTATGCAACCGCTGAACTAACTAAATTTACTTAATTAGGAGACCGATATAATACAATGATAAAGAGACGACGATTTAAATTGTTTTTATAATATTTTTAAACGACGATATATTGAAGATGACAGATAACATCTAACTAAAAATGATCCGAAATGTGCACAACGACATATCCACACTAATATTATAAATGCAAATGTCTGTCTGTCTGTTACCTTTATAAGCTTAAACCGCTGAATCGATTTAGATAAATTGATGAATGAATGATGATAGTAAAGTTGTAAACTTGGGAAAGGATATGGGATAATTTGTAACTTATAACTAATTGTTTAAAGAGGTGAAAAGAGGGTACAAGTTGGTATGAAAAACCAAATTTTTTTAATCAGGCGAGGTCATGCGCACCCACTTTATTAAGATAGAATAATATTATTGCTTCTCAAGTTGTTTTATTTTTTACAAGGTCTTAATGTTTTTAAGTTGTCATTGATGCAGTTATAATGTTTTATTTCTAGTTCAATCAACCAAAATCAATCTCAATAATAAAATAAGTAAGTTGGATGAGTCATTATTTGTTAATAAAGTTATCAATTAATCTATCTGAATAATACATAATAATTGTATATATCTGCATTGTGATTGAGCGTTCGGCAAACTTAGTGATATTCTTATTATTACTTTGAATTCCCTAATATTTAATTGAATTAACAAACTAACTAAATACAATGATATTGACGATGGGAAGGCTTAAATTCAGCTAGGGTGTGGCTTCCTATTCCTATCCCTATCAATGAAATTAAATAATATTTTTGTCATTACGAAAGTGTTTAACTACATTGCATTATTTAAATAGAGACGTTGTATTTGATTAATATATAGAAATACTAGCTGTCCCAGCGAACTTCGTACCGCCATAAAAAAAATAGGGGTTGGTGGTAGAAGGGTGAAAATTTAGGATTGTGTGTATTTTTGTATGATGCATCATAAAAAATGAATCAAAACATTTTGTCCAAAAATAAAAAAATTGAGGGTGGACCACCCTTAAAATTTAGGGGGATGAAAAAAAGATGCTGTCCGATTCTCAGACCGACTGAATATGTATACAAAATTTCACGAAAATCGGTCGAGCCGTTTCGGAGTAGTTTAAATACGCACACCGTGACACGAGAATTTTATATATTAGAAGATATTCATTTACAATTCGGTTTCATATTATAACAAACTGGTTATGAAGGCACTTGCCCACAGCAACATAAATTTACTACGCCACATGTGATTCACGCGTACATGCTTAGTTAAATATTTGTGTCATGTCAATGTTCTGCCTTTAGTTCTATTTTACACAATTTGGGTCAAGGAACGGCCGTTAAACTGAGTAGTAAGTACTTAATCCTAATCCGTTTTTCGATTTAGGTCTTCTCACGTGTCATACCGCATGTACTGTTAGAATTCGTTTTATTCACACGTGTAAGTAATGGTCCATTTCGCATTAAATGTTTTGTGCAAACTAACCCTTCCTGTTAAATATTCATGTAGTGATGTGAGATTGTAATTTCCGGTAACATCATTATATATAACTAGCTGTGCCCCGAGGTTTATAAGGGAAAATAAATTCATCGATTTTCCCATGGGAATAAGATATTTTCCCGCAGTAAAACGTAGCCTATGTGTTAATCCAGGGTGTCAGCTAAATCCATACCAAATTTTATTAAAATCGCTCGTGAAGAAGTAACAAACATACATACACACATTCACAAGCTTTCGCCTTTATAATATTAGTGTGATTATACATACAATATAATTTACACATAAATAAATAAATGTAATAAGACGCTGCAGACCAAAAGAAAATTTACAAAAAACAATATCTAAGGCATAAAAATAAAAATATTAACTGTCTAGAATTAGTACGATTCATTCTTAAGAAACGACCCGCTGCCAGGTTTAATAATTTACCGTTATCACCCATTGCCGGAACTCAGTGCCAGAAAAACGTAAAACGAAGTAGATGGCTACACAGCTGAGGGGATATAAAGATTAGAATATTTCATCAACGGCTCGCCAGAAAAGCGTTAAATTTGCTATAAATAGAATACGTTCAGCACGTTTAATTTGGAAACGGCAACAATGGTGATTTGTTAACAATCAGTATTGTCATTAAGTATGCTGGTGGCATTCAAAGAGTCGAAGTTGTGCTACCAAATTTATGATAGATAACATAACCCGTCAATTCATAGATACATTTTAACCTTGTCGAATCCTAACTTATAGTAGGGGAAGAGACTAAACGGGGATTTGAGATTTTTTGCGCGGCAAAACATCACAAGGGCGCGCTTGCACCTTGTGAAGTACTCCCACCATACCTGAGCTATTCCAAAGGCCAAATGGCCGTTTGTTGATTTTTACTGCTGATCTAGGCGTTCGACCCTATAATAATAATAACTTTATTTGAAACAAATTCATTGTATAAGGTTGCCCCCTTATGATATTCTGCCCGCTCGAGTAAATCCCAAAACCCCGCTTAGGCTCCCCTACTATAAATACATATTATAAATGCGAAATTGAGTTTTTAAATTATGTTTTAATGCCTAAATCACTGAATCGATTAATGTGAATTTTGGTATAGAGAGCGTAGACTGGAGTCCCTTTAAGCGGTAATTATATTTTATCGTAGAAACAAATACTCTTAAAATGGGGGATGAAATTTTGTATGAGAATTCAAGCAGATGAAGTCAGAGGCAGTCGCTAGTAGGTTAACCTTTTTTAAACTTGTATTTTTTGATGACGAAGGAAACTACTTGGTTCTGCTAAGCACTAGACAAGACCTGCAGTCCTTGATAGATTTTATAAGTGGACTGGTTTATGGAATAGGCATCTAAATTATTCATTAATTCGAATTAGATTTAAATCGATGGAGGCCTAGCAAGAATTTAATAGTGTTAACTAATTTATTATCAAAAATAAAATATTGGACGGTAATCCAATATTTTATGCAGACAACATTAGGAAGTAATTAAATCAAACAATTAAATTAATAATGGCATTAACAGCCAGTGTTCATGTTACGTTTCCGAGATCAAGCAATTTGATAACGATATAACAAGGCAAGTGCTTTCACTTTGACTTCCAGCACCCATTCCTCATCTTTTCAAGGAATATTCTGTTCATTCCTTTCTACTAAATGTGGACACTTATTTTTTCTTTTGTCAATTTACCAAAAAATACATAGATAAAAAGTGTAAAAGATTGGGAGTGTGGGCTTGATCAAATACGAAACGAAGCCGAATAGCTTCTGTAGAGTTCTACGAAGACCAAGTTATGAGCACGGGCCAGCAGTTTACGTATTTTCAATTAATTGAATAATGATTGGTTGACTATATGAAGAGATCGATAGCGCAGTTGAAGTTAAGCAACTTTCGCATTGGTCGGTCATTGGATGGGTGACCAATAATCTTCTATCTCGAATTCGTGCGTGCTTCTGAAGGCACGTTAAGCCGTTGGTCCTGGCTGCATCTGCAGTAGTTAGCACCCACCTATCCACACTGGGCCCGCGTCATGGCCCAATCTCCCTATTCCATCCATAGGGAAGGCCTGTGCCCCAGTAGTGGAGACATTTATAGGCGGATGATCATGATATCTCTGTAAGTTTTGATTATGTGAATAAATTCGATATTTACGATCATAGATAGAAAAAAATACCTTTTCTTCTGTCAGCTGTTTTAATCTGTAAGTGTAAAGTACGTAATATGAGAACCTTTCAAAGGTTATTAATTTTTTTATTCCAAACTGGATATAACCAATGGTATGCGGAAACTGTGGACCAATTTTTACGATACAAAATGTACTCAAGATCAAAAGATGACATAGTAATTTATTTTTTAAATTTTAGTTTTTTTTCTGAAATAGGCGTTAATGCTGTAACACAGTATTTTCACGAAAAAAAAAACGGAGAGGTTCTCAATACGACGCGTACCTATATTTTATTTTTTGTGTATTTTCGATCAACGTCTGATACGTACTATGTATTTACTTTCAGGTGTACTTCACTTCACTGTTGGGTCCTAATTCGTTTCTTTATTAATGACATAGTTAATTGTCTGCGGCATAGTTCGTGTTCCCTGTATGCGGTTGATTTAAAATTGCATAATGAGGTGAACAATGTCGATGATTCTAATGATTCACAAGAAGACCATGTCAAAACAACAAGATGCATCACAATCCAAACAAATGTTTTCATATAAAATGTACATACTAAAAAAAGTTTTTTGGTTCTACTTATGATATTAGAAACAAACTTTTAGAAACTAGACAAATAATAATAAAAATAATAAATGCTCATGTTCATATATTGATTTATAAGTGTTGGCAGTATGATACCTATACCTACCTGTTTGATAATAGATTTATTTTCAAATGAAATGTTCTAAGGCTTTCCATTTACCTGTTTCTAAATTTTATTGTTGGTAATAAGGTGGATATCATTATATTACCTGGTTACATAAAAATGGGATGGGAGTATAAACATCTTTACATAATTTCAGAAATTATCTACCCATAAATATAATATAAATACTAGTGTAATAATAAGTGTTATTAGTATTATTAACTAAGGAGGGTGGGTACCTAGCAAATAGCGCGCTGACTCTCGATTTTAAGACAGACTAGATATCGCACGTTTGAAATTGTGTGGTCCCATTGTCCCTTTATACATAAAGGGCACATATCTATTAAGACGCTTTTGAATGCGGATCATTACTAGTATTTTAATTAATATACTTTTTAAATCATCGAAATCAGTTCATTCGTCGCGATTTTATAACTAATTTTATGATTCACTGGCGGCCGGAACCGTGTGACGTCACAGAGCTCGATCGTTCACTCCGGTCGAGTAGCGTCTCTACGAACGCTCGCGCCCTAAACGCTCGAGCTCTGTGTCGTCACAGTCACCACGCGGCCAGCCGAAAATCAACCTAAAATTAGGGCAGTTATAAATAAATCTTCAACTCATATCTTTGTTCAAAAAAGGTCACGTAGCAACATCTCGATGACGAAGACTTATAGATTAAAGTGTCATTGAACACATAACTTATCTGATAAAAGGTTAAATGTTCCTTATATCAAGATTCGCTTCTGCGAAAAGTATCCGGTCTTTAACAACCTTTAAGATGAAACTCAAAAATGGGTCTTTGTATCTTTTACGTTTCTCGTACCAATAATACTTTTTATATACTTATGTATGATAATATGATTATTTCTTAGATAAAATTTTATTAAAATTGTTTTGACGTGACAACGTCTTAAATTAGGTTGCGGCTGGGAGTCACTTATGAAAAAGTGTAACGCTCGGTAACGTTACGATGAGTCTCTCGTGTTAAGTTTAAGTTTACATGTACAATGTTTTAGTAAACAAAATATATTTCTATAGTTAAAATTTGTACAATTCTTATTTTCATTCAATTCCTTGTTCCTATTGTGCAATTTAATTATATTCATATCAATAAATATTCTACCGAGAAAAAGACGTTGTCACGTAAAATCTTCGCCCGTAAAACCGATTTTACAGGCAACCATTTTTTTAATGTAAATTTATTGTTACAAAACATCACGCCTCTTTGGTTTTGAATTGAGCCCAACTATAAAATTTTCGTAAACATTACACTACTGAAGTTACCTTATGATTATCTCAGCATAGTTTAGCAGATAGATAACAAAAAGTTTTTAATATCGTTGAGAGAGATATAAGGAATAATTTGATTATAAAATATGATGAAATCGTATATAATAACTTATCAGAAGCAATCTTACGGCCGAACATCAATATTATAACCATTGTGCTCTTTACTATAACGAAACTTTGTATTTTATATTTTTCAATAAAGATCTATTATGTTTGTTCGCAGTAAGGCTACCATTAAAATTGAGTTGCGTTTCATCAAAAGTAAATTAGTTACATTATTATCCGATAAAAACGTTTTGTAAAAACTTCTTGAATGTCTAATGTGTTGGTACAAAATCATTTGTTTTTATTCATTTCTGCGTTTGCTTTTAATCTCTATCTAACCCTAAAGCAGAGATGAGATCTCCGATGTAGCGAGCTTACCCAGTTGATGCCTTTTTACTCTTGGCTTTAAAAATAACAATATTAAGAAGTGTAGCCAACTCTGCTTCATATATTTAAAAGAAAAAAAGCAAACGTGAGTGTCGCGGATTACTCGGTTGGAACAAAGTTTAAAACTACCATGGATGAGTAATAATACCCTAGTGGTGGTGGAAAACAAAATCTCGCCAAGACCAGATATGTTCGCCAAAATGGCGTATCAATACCCTCAATCCCGCAATTCGCTGTGACGCAAAAATCTTACAATTTTTTTCGCCTAGACCCATCCGCCGCGCCGTACCGTCCGTAGATAAATATTTTGACAATTACATAAACGACAAGTAGCAGCTCACCTTAGTCACATATCCAAAGACGTTGGAGTAGAAAGCGAAGTAGTTCTTCGTGATGTACAGGTGTCCTTGCAGCAGTAGGTCGCCTACTAACGCGCAAGAGTAATCTGCAAAACGAAAATGAACCTTATTAATTAGGACGAACGAAACTACGACGAGAAACAAAACCGGAATTCAAGGACATCTCAACACTGGTATGAATATACTTACACAGAGACCTTTGCCATATCCGTAATCGTATCGTCATCGTCAAAGCTTGTATGGAAGGAGCCAGTTTGTTCTTACGTCCGATAGGGGCGCTGCTTAGTTTTCTCAGAAACTCTGACAATGCGACACAATTACGGAGCTGTCAAAGTTTAATCTATTAGAAGTTTCCTAATAATATTTGTATGTAACAAAACGCAAGATATAGGATTATAGGACATGTAGAATATATTAGTTGCGCGTGATAAATAAATAAAAACTTATGTACTTCGTACACAACATTATCCGCGTCATAAAGTGAATAATAAATTAACGATGAAAACGTTAAACCACAGTCGACAAATAAGGTTAAATGGATCAGTATTTATTTCTTACACATACGAAAGCAATTACACTAATAATATAAAAGCGAAAGTTGGTGAGTGTGTATGTTTGTTACTTCTTCACGTCTAAACGGCTGGAGTGATTTTAATAAAATTTGGTATGGAGTTAGCTTACACCCTGAATTAACACATAGGCTACGTTTTACTGCGGGAAAATATCCCTAATAAACCGCGGGTAACACCGCGGGGCACAGCTAGTAAACCGTAAAGCTGCAGACGGAACCCAATTAGGCACAGCAAGTTATGACGTTAACAAGTCGAACATCAACTGGTTTCTCAGATTAACGGGTGCTTATTTCTAAGTATACGACCTTCATGTGTATCAATAAAATTCCATTACTATAAAGAGACCATACATTTGCGATATAAGATACTCTTTATTACGATGAGATGATGATCAACGATGCTACAGTTTTCAAACTATAACTTTTCCGATTTATTTCAAATAAAAATTTTGCCGTTGCTAATAATTTGGCTGACTTTTTTTGCTTGGTATGATTGGTACTATTAATATGAATGTACGAGGTATCTTTGAAAGAAAACTTAAAGAAAATCCACGTTTCCATCATTGTAATTACTTTGTAATTGCACCGTATGCAAGGGAGTGTAGATATGGTTTGGTAAGTTAGTTTGTTTAATCCAAAAGTATGGTTTAATGTATTTGTAGGATTAAGGCCGCGTTGTTTGAAACATAGTTAAATTTGAATATAGTTGCCACGTCAAAGACATAGTAAATGTATAAAAAATTTTGACCTTTTTTTTCTAGTATTTTAACAATAAGTTACATAATTTCAGTATTGATGAAACAACGCAGCCTTAATCTCAGGAATTACTAAACAGATTTCGAAAATTGGTTTAGTACCAGAAATCTACATTATTATTGAGTGACATAGGCTATTTGATATCCCAGTTAAGAAAATAGTATAGAATTAGAATTTAAATGCTTCTCCGCAATAGAATGGCGTGGCATAAACTGGTTCGTTATAATTGCAAATCATTTTATAAACAGAACAACCAATGCGTGTTGCTCATTTCCAAAGGAGTTGGCTTCATTGGCTAGACGACACGAAAACGAAACACGAAACGATTTCGAAATAAGATTATCTTTAGAATAGTCAAAAATTATATAACGGATTGTTTCTTATCCAGCTATTTGTATTCTGTGTCAATGCCGTACAAACATTTACGAATTCCGAAAGTGATTTCAATGCAAAAACTCAAAGAAATCCGATATGTATGTCGTTATTGTTTATTGTTAATTTAGATAACATAGGTACAAATTATTGAAGGATGTCAATTTTGAATGAATACATCTGGTAAAAATATAAAAAAATGCTATATTGTGTTTTTTCCATTTTTTGTGTGATTCGTTAATTTAGTTGAAATAGTTGTACTTACGTCTAAAGCCAAAGTCTAATTTAATACCAGCTTTAAATGTTTTTTTATTTTCATACTGAATGTTTGAAGAGGTAACATTTTTTAGATAGTCGGTTTCAAAATGTGACATCTTACAAAATATTTGAATCAAATAGTGACATTTGCATGCTATTAGATGAAAGGGTGTCTTTTGATAGATTTGACAACCTTATAATACATTAAATTTTATACAATATTTGACACATGAATGGTTAATAAAAAATAATAAAAATTGTTTAGATCAACTTGAATATTTATTTTCACAATTAACTCAAAAAGTTAAAAACTGTAAATGACACTTTTTGTTTCTAACCTCCTCTATATTAGATATTATTATTACTGGGCCTATTCCTTCGATCAATCTATTTTATAGTAGATAAAAAAATATTATTAAATTAGTCTATGATAATTTAGGTTTATCAGATATTTTTGTAACACCTGTCGTCTGTCTAATGATAATGTAGCATTAATAAACACAAATCGTATGACAAAAGTGTACAATCAATTCGTTATAACTGTGTTACCTATTCTGCGATGTTATTGGAAAAATAATATTATATCAGTATCATTTAAGCAAGCAATAAAAAGCTTCTAATTGAACTTTGTTTTGATAAAATATTGATTAATTGATACTCACTTAATAGTAATTAACGGGATTGCTATTATGTATCATGTCATAATTTTTATTTGTAAGCATGTTACTGCTCGATGTTTAAATCTAAAGAAAATACATATTAATAGATTATCCAAGCGGGCCAGGTCTGCTGCCGGGTCCGGTATATTTTTTTCCTAGTAATATTTTCTTTAGATGTACCTGGTTTTTGAGAGTTCCTGAAATTACGTTAATGTTGCAAAGTGTCATTTTCACAGAGAAATGGGGACACGCAAACAAAGTACATAGTAGCAAACGCGCTAATTACTATAATGTAAGTGACCATTAAATTTTATAACAAAATATTGATATAGTGCGATTCAAACTTTATGGCGGTTGTGAACTTAACAACGAGTGCAGGTTTCAGGATCATTGAAATCCCGCTCACACTAAAATCGCGCTGATCATATCGTTTGCTGCGCGGCGACTTGCGCTAACTTCATAGCCGTTATAAAGTTTTACTCGCATTCTACTCACAGTTGAGCACCTTCTCCTCTGGCCCGACCTGCGGGAAGTGCCTCTGGAATTTCTTCTGGCGCGCTTTGCTGGGCTGCTTGCCGTCCGATGTGTCTGTGTGAGGACCACCGGCCGGAGTTAACGCACTCACACGGACCGAAGGTGCCGACCCCGACAGGGGTTTTAGCACTTGTCTGGGGACGAAGATAGGGGCAATCAGAAAAAGTTCCAATTTAGTCATTTGATTCATTTGAGGTAACTATTTTTTATTGTTAGACAATATTAATAGGAATGATGACTAACTATTTTTTCTGCGTCATTCAGGTAGGTAGACTATCAAAAAGTATTAGACACGTATTTTTTCTTTTTTCATTTAATCTAAACATTACAGAGATATATTGATTTGAATTAACGCATGACGTCAGGTCTTAGTCTTCTACACTTCTAGTTCTTAGTACACTTCTTACTTAGAAGTGACGTCACGAGCCTCCTCACCCATACTTTAAAGCTCTGTATCTTTGTTATTTTTGGTTGATTGACAAAAGAAAAAATTAGTGTCCATAATTTTTTGATTAATCTAACTGACAGACTTAACAGAATTTCCCAATCACGCTGTGAAGGGTACTGGAGTTCTTTGATGTAGAAGGATGTTTTTGTGAAAATCGTACATATACATTTTCACGTTTACGCCTTTAGTCCAACGAAGCATTTACATGCGGCAGCGAATCTGCTCTGCTTACTCATTACATCATAAGGGATACATTTCGAGAAGGTACCTCTACGTATGTGGGTTTTATCAATTCCATCAAATTATTCATACACACCGCTTCGCGAGAAGTCTATAACAGAATTCAATACGCGGCGAGGTCAAGTCAATCGAAGCATCGTAAGATATTTCAATTTTCCTGTCAACACGGAGTTCTTCGTATACAATGAGTTACTTTCGTTTCTAGAACATTTCTCAAGAATATTGCTTTATTGCCTCTTCAAGGCCTTTACTCAAAAGCTTATAAATTACCGCTTCTTAAAATGTTGCTAGGTGTAAGTCAAATTGATTACTAATTACCTACTAACTTTTGTTTCTATTATTTGTGAACATTTCTCGAGAATCGTATGAAAGACGTTATTATTGAAAATTAGGAATTAGCTGATGAAAAGCTGGCCATTCATTCAATATTCTTTAATTTTAAATACGATCGCTCAGCTCAGCTACACCAAGACCGAAGTGATTGTATGTTTACTTTGCGGAGTCCAGTTGCGTAGAAAGCTGGGGGTCTAAAATTGGGCATAGTTGTATGGAGAAATGAATGGATCCTTTACTATCGATGAAACAACGCGGCCTTAGTAGACACGTGGTTAGTTTGATGAATATTTCGTTTTTCGTTTAGAGTAGGCCTCCTGGTTGCGGTAAAACAGCATGCCTCGCTGATTGAACCCAATTCACTAGCCCCGTGGATCTCTGGCAACCCCATTGAAGGAACTTACAGAAAACTATTTATTTTGAGTATTTTCTATGGTCGATGGAGGTTAGTTCCCCAGACCGACGCACCAATTCTTCAAGAGGCATGGGAGTACAATTTTTCTGTAGGTAAATGATTTAACCATAACTTTTAGTGTGTCTCGGTGTAAAGATGCCTTCAAAGAGGCATGAGAGTAAATATTTCTGTAGGTAAATGATTTAACCATAACTAAGTGTGACGTGCGTGTAAAGATGCTTAAATTTCAAAATAAGAGGTATAGGGCCCGTATTATAGAAAGATTCTCAGTAATTAATCTAGTCTTGAGCATAGTTAGAAAAGGATAATGCTACATTATAGCACATAGCGACATCCCTTTCTAACTGTTCTCAAGTAAAGATCAACACTTAGTGGTCATTCTGTAATACGAGCCAAGACTACAATTTTGACTGTTGGTACATAATTCACCCATAACTTAGTGTGTCGTGCGTGTGTAAGAATGAACGTAAGAGATAATTTTATTTCACAACAATTACACTGTGTTTTGAGGAGGCGAGCCAGCACAGACAGTTTCCTCCACAGGTTTCCGCACTGTCGCTGTAAAACCGTCAATTCAAACTTCCGCAAACATTAAGTTTATAGTTTCCAAGCGAAATAAACCGTAAAACTCGTAAATAAATACTCAACATAAAAGTATCTATCACAACACGGAACAGTACTGAAACATTAAAGCAGTAAAATAATATAGATTGTTTTATGATTTAAACATTTTCATTGTTGTATTTGTACGTTTCGCTACAACACACTGTGTAAATTATTAACAATTGTTGTGTCACATATAACTTAAACTATTACTTATTCTTAACACAATATTGTCACAAATTCTATATTTCATAGTATACAACAAAAACTTAATATTACAGTCTGTATTTTTTTTGAGTGGATATAAAAAACGAGCGGGCCTTACAGTAGTCGCGTATGATGCGTAACATTTGAATCCTCACCTTATATTAGTAAAAAAGGAAATAAAAAACAAAAGGAATAGGCCGTTTGAACATTTATGTTCTAAAATCAAATCAAAAAGCGCGCGCTTTCGCGACTTCCTTTTACACACTTCCGTCCCATTTCACGAAATCACTCCCACAATTTGCAGGAAAGCGAGAGGAAAGATGTTACACACCAAAAAGCTTTTTTTTTACTATTACTAATGTTTCGGGTCCTTGAAAGGTAAATGGTTCGAAAATAATGAAAAAACTTAATAAATCACACTTTATTCCCGCTCTAAACACTTTTTGAGCGGGTATAGTCATGGCAGTCATGGTATGGCTGTGTGTGCATGAAAACCTGCGCAATATAGTATTTTATACCTATGAAATTATGAACCGAGTACACAAATGTTACAATAACTGTGTAAGTGAGGACTTAACAGTTCACTCAACATTACAATTCCTAATAAGAACACTTAAAGCACTTGACCGAAACAAAAAGTTTGCAATGTACCTAATTAATATATAAGTATTTATATAAAAATTAAAACGCTTTGAACGTGCTTTCAAGACTTTATTGGTGGAATTATTTTTAACACAACGCATGCTAAAGCCCCAAATTATGTAGTGAATGTTTATTTCAATTATTATGTGCGCAATCAAATCCGTTAATTGCTATCAGAATATGTCAACGGGTTGTTTTCACGCAGATAATACAGACATCAATATTTGAAATGAACCAAAACAAAGTAATGTTGGGTAGGCCGCTCCAATTCCGGTTGTTGTTCGTAGGAAAAAGCGAGTTTGTGATAAATTGACATGATGAAATGACGTATTACTATGAGCTGACGATAAACGAGAAGCGAGTAGAGCTAGAAACTAGAAACGAGTTAGCGAGCAGAGGGAAGCGAGTGTGTAGTTTCGATAGTTTTATCGCTAGGCTATAAGCGAGTGTGCGAGTACAACGGGCGATTACTCAAGCCACTCGCTCGCGGTGACAGTTCAGAGCAAAAACGCTTAAGCGTTTTAGGCGGCCAAGCGAGCATCTTGATAGCTCTTGTCGCACAGCGACAAACTAGTGGAGGGAGTTCTCGCCGGCAGTGTGAACAGTTAGTGATTAACTAATATTATAAGTATATTTCTCGTTTACACTGAATTTATATCTATTGTTCGTTTCTTGAGCGAGAGAATAGCCGATAGTTAGTCACTTCTTCGCCGGGGCGGTGGGACAACTGCCTTAAGTTCCGTGCCGATAAGCGATAAGCCGAGAATATGGATGTACTAAAATGTTTACCAATTAACAACTCTGTCACCTGTAATCGCTATAAAGACGCAGATAAAATAAGCAGAAAGTGAACAAAACTTATTATGCGTATAAAAAATATAAAGATAGGTCATATTTTTGAATGTCAGAAACAAGCGAGTTATTTTTAAATTGTGATGGTAACTTAATATGACGTTTTGTCTGCCTTCCCCTTTTCAGGGCCACAAGACAAACAACACAAAACCAACACGAGGCAGGTAATGAAAAGGGTTCAGAAAATAAATTATGAAAAGATTTAAATTTACGTAAATCTATATAAATTACGGTCGTTCTACTATGAATGAATTCGAAAATGTAACCAAAAACATATTCGTGTAAAATGTTGTAAAGACAAAACCATATGTAGAGACAAGCTTCTTACTCTACAAGACCTAATTTCACAATCTCAACACCTTAGTCAAATTATGTGGCTAGGCCATTTCGTTACATTTACATGGGCGCAAGATATATATATATATATATATATATATATATATATATACTAGCTGACCCAGCGAACTTCGTACCGCCCTAAAAAAATAGGGTTTGTCCAGCGGACTAAATTGTGAATCTAAACCATTCTCAGATCCCCTTGAACACACACAAAAAAATTTATCAAAATCGGTCCAGTCGTTTAAGAGAAGTTCAGTGACATACACACTCACAGAAGAATTATATATATAAAGATATATATATATATATATATATATATATATATATATTTACATCTTCAAAGACTTCTTGCGTCTTTACAAACTGCCACCCTGCGGCGTCCACTGTACTCGACGCGATTTTGAATGTTTTAAATGCGTATTTAAGTAGCTATTATTATTATAATTTCTTGTGTTTACGCGGAATTGCATTAAAATATAAAATGCCAATATTCGATTTTAATATTTCCCGGTAATTTAGCGCATCCGTTCACCACCATAACCATACAGCACACTGAATATGTACGTATACCTTCTATGCACTGCTTAAATGCTCCTACCTCCGTCCAAACTTATGTTTAAATTGATTCTGCATAATACGATTTATTTTTACAAAGTTACGTCCCTCAAATTTAAAAAGAAATATGTTAGTTCCGGATACTGTAGGTACTGTATATCAATAATATTCATCCTGCTAGTCTACCGGCTTCCAGGTACAGCAGCACTCTTCTCTTTGGAGTAGTGCATACCTATGTAGAAGTACCTGTAGGTACCTACAATTACTTATTTATGTTCAAAGCTTGATCGTTATTTTTGAGTTTTACACAGATCAGTCGGGTAGACAGGGAAGTTCTTTTATTTATTATATTTTAAAGTTTACATTGGTCCGTACATTTTTGTCTTTATATTTTTATTTATTAAAGTCATGATCATATTTAAGATAACTTTTTTAGCTCGGCTAGTCTGGAATTTCAAGAGTACCGGTGGGATTCGGGCTTGGTTGTCCCTTGACCCTGT